TTTTTTTTTTTTTTTTTTAACATTTATTCTTTGGACTAAATCTTTGCACTTATTTTTGATTGCCTCCTAAAGCAAAAAACTTGAGGAAAATTCTCTGATGAGAAAGTATATCAAGGCTGCCGGGCAAGCCATGCCAGCCCTGCCCCCAGGGGTGCTGAGATCCTAACTGAGACTGGGTGTGACAGCCGGTGCTTGGGAGGCTGAAAGCAGGAGGATCACTACGAGTCCAATCCGTGTAGTGAGACCTTGTACTAGATACATTACAAAACAAAATAAAACATATCCAAGGCTGAGGGGGTGGCTCCAGGGGTAGAACCTTGGCCTGAGTGTTCCAGGCCCTGCTTTCAGTCCCAGCACTGGGGAGAAATATTTTAAAACCTTTAAAAGAAAGCGCACAGTTACCACCCAGACGTGATAGTGCAACCCTGTAATCCCAGCCCCTGGGAGGCCAGAGCAGGAGAATCACCACAAGTTTAAGGCCAGCCTGAACTGCATAGGGAGACCCTGTCTCAAAAAAACCAAAGAAAGGCAAAATGATAATTACCAAAACAGCGTATTTTCATACTTGGTGGCCCTCTTCAGGGGACAGTAGTGCGACTATGGGGCCTGGAATAAAGAGTGAAACGAAACCCCATTTTATCTTCAAAGGTTCAGAAGACACTAAAAGCTACTCACCTGCCCCCTCTACCCCTCACCCTGCGGCAGAGTCAGCCCCGGCCCCCACCTTCTGTCCACTCTCCGCGCCCGCCGCCCGCTTCCCGCAGCCTGAGCTCCCTGCCTCCCCGCGCCAGTTCGAGACCCGCCTCGGGGGCGAAGGCGACGATCGGCCCCGGGAGGCCGAGGAGCCCCCTTCCGAGGAGGCCCTGTCCGAGGAGGCTCTGTCCGACGAGCCGTGCGCTGAGATGCGCCTGCCGCGCCTCACCGAGTACTGGTCCGACAGCGAGCACGCGTTCCGGGACAGGGCGGCCGGCGGCGTGGCCATCGCGCCCACGCACGGCTCGGTGCTGATCGAGTGCGCGCGGCGGGAGCTGCACGCCACCACGCCGGTGGCCAGCCCCAACCGCAACCACCCCACGCGCCTGTCGCTGGTGCTGTACCAGCACAAGAACCTGAATAAGCCGCAGCACGGCTTCGAGCTCAACAAGATCAAGTTTGAGACCAAAGAGGCCAGGAGTAAGAAAACGAGGGACCCAGAGCAGGAAGGCCCGGCGGCGGGCGCGGCCGACGCGTCCCACCCAGCCCGCGAGCTGACCCAGGTCCCAGCTCACCGCGCGCCGACGCTGACGCGCGACAACGTGGTCACCGTGTCCCCATACGCGCTCACGCACGTGGCGGGGCCCTACAACCACTGGGTCTGAAGCCGCCGCCCCTCCCGACGCCACTGCGGTGCCGTGTTGTTTTGGTTTTGTTTGGTTTTGTTTTGTTTTTTTCTCCCCCAGGTGCTGTAAAGTCTTGCTGTCGTTTACTGTATGTTCATCTCACCCATTTCAAATCTGAGGTAAAAAATAATTTTTAAATCGGGTGGGTACTTAACTGTGACTCTATTTTGACAATTGGTAGAAGGTGCACATTTTAAGCAACAAAAGTTTTATAGTTTTAAATACATTAAGAAATGTTTTGGTTAGGTTGTTAACTTGATAGAATCACTCAGTTTGGTGCTTTAAATTAAGTCTGTTTACTATGAAATGAGTATTTTTTAGAGGAATTTAACAAGCTCATGTTCTCTGATGTAAAATCAAGACACAGTGTTAACTCTACACAGCTCCGGTGCTTAAACACATCAACACAGTTAAAAATAAGCTGAATTATTATTTCATGGTGCCATCGCTCCAACATCTTCCGATCGTTGCTAGAAAATTGGTGTATTCCTTTGAACCCTTGAAATAAGCCAATGAAATGCTCTCTTAAAATACTTTCTCCTGTAGAAAATAATTCATTTTTCTTATTAATGGTTGGAGGTTATTCATAAAGTGTAAATATATATTTTAAAAGCACTTTCTATTTTTAAAAGTAACTTGAAATAGTATAGTATAAGAATCCTATTGTCTATTGTTTGTGCATATTTGCATACAAGAGAAATCATTTATTCTTGCTGTGTAGAGTTCCATCTTGTTACCTGCAGTATGTAGTTGAATCGTGTTTGTGGTTTATATTCTTCTAATAGACCTTTCACATTACGTATTAGCTACTTATGTAAAATAATCTCTAAAATTGGAATTAGGTCACATTATCACCAATGCTGATTTTTTTTTTTTTTTTTGGTTTGTTTGTTTGTTTGTTTGGGTTTTTTGTTTGTTTTTCTTAGAACTAAAAGTGCAGTCAACAATAGCCTCAAATTTCTTTTACCCAGCTTTATCAATATAACCCATGAAAGATGTGTCCAAAAGGAAAAGGGGCAATGTGAGATCCAGAAGAGTCAAATGCTTCTGATGTTTCAAGGTGATAAAACACAAAAAAGTTCAGTAGCCTAAACTCTACCCATCCTAAATTGCCTTGATTGTTCTGAAATCTAATCTAATGAAGAAGAGGAGGGGAAAAAAATCCTGGAGAAATCTTTTGAAAACAAGTTCTCCGTTATCATCATGTCTCCCATCCTCAGCCAAATATAGCAATGGTATTAGAAATATCTTGTCCATCCAGAACTAATCCACTCATTTATCTTAGTACTTTGGATTTGGAGAAGTGGTAGCTAATCTTTTTAAAAATTGCCTTTGTTATGTAGGTAAAAGAAAAAAGTAGCCCTCCCATGGATTTTCCCATTCCCATTTTTCCCCTTTATTGACTTGGGTTTATAGCAACACAAAGAGGATTGCCCAAACAAAATGTTTAGAACAAGAACCCTCAATGAAATACTTGATTCTGTTAAAATGCAGAGGTGCTATAGCATTCAAAGTGTTAGATTCTTTGGGAGTATAGAAACCTAAGTGGTGCTTCTCCCTTGGATATGCCATAGGAAGCCACAACTGCTAACACTCATCATTGTGGTGCAAACGCAAAGCTCTATAAAGGAAAACTCATTGTAACTTATTAAAATAATATATATGGTGCAAAGTATCAGTTTAAAGCTTTTGACTTATCCAAGTAAAGGAATATGAAGGGATTGTAAATAACTGTATGTCTATTGATAGACCATCCTGTATAAGTAGATTTCTGCTTATTGAATATGTAAAATAGGACAATTTGTTGACTTGTTTTAGTATTTTGTGTGCCTTAGAGTTCCGTTTTAAAACATGTGTATTTTTTGAGCCTAAGGTTTCTTATACACACGAGTATATTAATGATTGTTTATTGTTCCAGCTGCTTCAGTAAGATATTTACTAGTATTAGATCAAGAAAACACCTCCTAAGATTTTAGGCCTTAGCTCCCACTAGAACTGTTTCCTCACCAGGTTCAATGGATAAAATCTTATGTCCCTTTATCCATCTATCCATTTCTCCAATGTACACTTCTTGAATGTCTGCAAAATTTAGGTATCGTTTTTGTTTTTCTTTGGATCACCACCTATCACATATTAAGTACTTTTTTAATGACCTAAACTTTAAACACCGATGTTGATAAACAGGACTATTGGGGTTTGTGAAACTAGCTGCGGTTTACCAAAACAAATTAATGAAAATAGCCCCTTTCAACTAAAATATTTCTGTTCTGTTGTTCTTAACACCATGAGTACGTTGCCTCCACCAGGAATCCCGCTGCAGGAACCACTCTTTTGAATTCTTTCGAATTTTAATATAATTTACCCTCTCCTCCCCTACTGTGGCTTTTACAAAAGCCGATGCTTAATGTTCCATAGCATTCTGACTGTATACTGGCAACACGAATTCACAATGCTCTTTCTCATGAAGCAAGAAAATACATTGATTGAATTACATTTTCAATCATAACACAGATCATCCAACCTTATTTCTTCACTGCTGTTATGTTTTACTATAGCAATCACCTTTTCTTTTACCTCTCATAGCACTCAAAAATGGAGTTTTGAATCTTCTACATTTGTTCATAGTATGATCATTGAATTCAATGATACATGACCTCCAAGTTAGCCCAGCTGATTCACAATATATTATAGAACCTTCAGCTATGATAATAGAGCAACTGTTTCCTAGAGTAGAATTTATATTTTAATGGCTACTAGGCTATCACTGAGATTTTGTTTTGTTTTCTCTTTTTTTTGCTTGTTAGTCTCATATCTTCTTTTCAGTTCTTACACAGACTACCAAATAGACCGTGTCATTAACCTAATTTGAAAGTGAGGCTGTACGATACAGGCAGGCAAATTTTTCCAGCATGGATACGTCTTGAGTAATTTTCCTACATCTCTATTACTCAGTCTGCATGTGGGTAAAATGATTTCATTTGCGAAGTATAGAACTTCACTAGCTGAGCTCCATAAGCAATTTATTCAGACATAACCCCAATACATACTTAATTGAATGCATACCCTTGTGTAAATGAGCTCCTGACTCAAGTCCTATAAAGTAACCTACTTTCTAATATTATTACTCCAGTGGATTCCTACTGATTACTATTTCACAGTAGCATGTATGAAAACCCAAAACCAGTCTTTTAAAGGAAAAATTATATTGATATTTTTTATGTGGAACAAATTTATAACATTGCATGACAGTTTTCACCAGTACTGGGCATGCAATTCCTTTGAAGGTGCCACCTCAGTGGGTAGATGTTGAACATATAGTTAGCTTCAATTTCACATGTTAGTGCATGGTACTCATTTTTTGTGTGTAGATTTACTATAACTGTAAATTTTCTTCATCTTTTGTACAATTGATGGCAAGGGAATTACAAAGTAAAGTAATAGAAAGTCAGCTTAAAAGTCACAGTTCAATTACATATACCCAGAAAGCAGATTTCAGTGTCAGCTTGTAATTGTGTTCACAATTAACATCTAAACAGAAGAGGGCCTCTCTCTCCTAGAAGTTATTTTATCACTGGGAAGTAGCCTTAGATTGGTACAAAAATAAAATGTCTTTTTGTTTTATTTCCTAAGAGGATCAGAGAAAGAAAACTGACAGTGAAATTGGGCCAAAATTCCCTTGCCTGATTTACTAGGCTATGTGTGGGAAACTGGATGATTTTTCACTTCTGAAGTGGCCCCGTTAACTCATCCTGCAGGATGTGGCAATCGTCTTGTTTGCCATTTCAGTGAACAAATAACAAGTGCTTTCATATGCCTAGAGTCTACTATTAGGCACATAAGAAGTTGTAAGAGATTGGTGATTGAGTTGGGCATGAGGGCACATGTCTACAATCCTAGCTACTTGAGAAGCTGAGGCAGAGGAATCACAAGTTCATCTCTAGTTTAGGAAACTTAGCGACATCTTATCTCAAAATAAAAATAGGAAGCTCTACCTCATTAGTGGAGCTCTTGCCTGGTCCTGGGTTTGATTTCCAGTATCAAAAAACTGAAAAGAAAATGTCACCCAAAGCCCAGGAAGGGTTTTTAGAAAATCAACAGTCATTGTCCTCTGTCAGAAACTGAATTTGTACTTTCTTAAAATATATTAAGGTTCAGGGGCTATTTTATTTGTGTGTGTTAAAAAGAAACAGTTTATTAATTTCAGAGATGGTGCAGCTGGGCTTTATGTGGGACATTGTTTTTGTCCACTTTAAAGTCTACAAACTTTGGGAAGACAGCTCCATGGCATATGTACCTGTGGCAAGCTCAAGGTCCTGAGTTCAATCCCCAATACGCTCTCAAAGAAAAAACAAAAACAAAAACTTTAATTTTCTGCCTTTCAGTTTCTTGATGATAATTTGTTTGTTTGTTTGGTTGTTTTGGTTGTTTGATTTGTTTATGTATTTGGGGATGATGCTGTCTTTCTTCTCCTTTGTTCAGCCCTAGCTGTTCCTCACACTGAACCAACACCTCCTCCTTCAAAGTAGGGATGTTATCAGATGTAAATCTGCTGATTTCACCTGTTTATGTCTGTGTGTGACCTTGGAGTCTCATGGTTTAACAATATGAAGCTACCTGTCCTAAAAATAGCAATCTTACCCCTAACAGCCATTATGTAAGACATTCTCTCCTCTTCATAAGAAAAATATTTTATAGCTGTCAGGAAGATTTTCATTCTAGGAGAAACAATGCTGGAAAATGATCGTTCATTTGGCAAGGTATTAACTTATAATCCTTGACAAGAAACTCTATTATTTTTCTTATTCTACTGCAGCCACCAAGTCACTAAGTACACTTTTATATTTCGTTTTATATTTTTATGCTGGGATTGAAGCCAAGGCCTTGTTCATGCTAAGCAAATGCTCTGCCGTTGAGTTGTATCCCCAGCACATTTTCAATTCTTTTTAAATTTATCTGTTCCTCTAATATTTTTATTTCTT